CCTAGGTGTGTTTTCAACCTCATGAGGCTGCTGGTCAATTGTTTTGTCGAAGACTTCGTCTTGTCAAATTGGCGCCTCTAGTCGAGGTGGCGGCATCTGTCGACTCAAGGCCCTAGGAGCACCTACAAAATTTCCTATTTGTGTCATCTTAGTCACTAATTATTGGTAAATCTGAGTCGAATCTTGTATTAATGGTCTTAATATGGTGCCCATTTGCTGGGTCAACATGTGAATCATTTCGTGATTATTTTCATCCATCTGCTGTCTCATAACAGCGAAAGAACTTGAGGTAAAAGTTGGGATCGAGTGTGATGGAAGACTAAACCCTGGGGGCCTAGTTACTTGGTTCTCCAATGGCCCTATTCCTTGATATGGTGATAAAGCTGATGATGAACTTTCCCCAAAGAGTGGGCCACTATTATGTAAGCTCGACATGAACTCTGTCGGCATCCCAAAGGCTCGAGGCGTGGGCATTGTGAAACTAGGCACATACTGCCCTAGTCTCTGTCATCATAGGCCTAGGTTCAGGTTGATGTGGCGTTATGACATGCCCATTATGTGAATTCGAAACCGCAGACACAGTGTCAGTGCCAACGCCGGTTGTTTACGTCACAACCATGTTTCCTTCCGAAGACGGCTCTTCATTTGGATGTGGTATCACCATCTTACCACTATGTAAATGAATACACCCAAACCCACGAGTCTCACCGGGTGTGCTAATTTGTTTGCACGCAGTTTTCGCATGAACAACCTCTGACCTCCTGACGCAGGTTTACTTGCGGGACCGACCAAACAAGTCTCAGAACTATCTGGTCGAGTCTATGCGACGGTGGTTGAATGGTGTTGTTTAGAATAGGCTGAAAATAAAACTTGAGTAAAAACTGTGTAAACTTGAATAAAAGACAAGTAAATAAACGAGAAAAGGACAAGAAATATTTAAAGTTGGTAATGTAAATTGCTTTAAAAGAAAATGTGGGCGTGATTGTACATTTTGCAGGAATGAAACTCTTTTCTCTTAATGCTTGGTACTCAGAGTGTTTTTCTTTTACAATGTTACAAAATGTGCCCCCTAAAATAAACATGGGAATTTCTTTAAATAAGAAAATAAAACAACTTCCATGTTGACTTTGGTGTCGCCACGTGTCCTTTCACCACTTTTGTAACTTCCCACTTTCTCAGCTTTCCATATTTTCTTCCCGCTCAGACGCTCTCATACTTCGCGTCGACTTCCTTGCCCACCAGTCGACACCTTCAACGAAATAGGCCTGACTCGACTCACAAACTCCCTCTACTGGCGTCGACTCACATTGTTTCCTTCACCTCCTTTCCTAGCCTGTCAGCCCACAAGCCAATTATGTGTCACCCTTCCTCAGTCATAAAATTCTAGCCAACAAGTACGTATGCGAATCTTCGATGCACTATTGTCTCGATTGTTGATTATTTGCATTCTTGAAGCATGTTCATGATGCACACTTGTTTACATGTTAACACTTGCATGTTGATGCTTGCATATTCATGACGCGTGAGATTGATACATGTTCATACATATTGTCAATTGGTAAACTCCATGGTATATGTTCATTTTTTCTGTTATTGATACATGCTTATCATGATTGATTATTCTTTTGCCACATGTTCACATACTTTGTTTAACCTTGCATATTACATGTTCATATTTCTTTCATTCTTAAGGCTTGTTCATGCTTATATTAATTGATTAATATTTTGATACTTGCTTGTTGGTGTTGCATGTTCAAGATGTTCGGTGATAATTTATGATCATATACATGGTTGATTGTTGCATTCTTGATGCATGTCTATGCTTAATTACTTCATTGGTTGAATGCATATTTGTTGCCAATGCATCCACCATTGTCCTGTTCATGCGTTGTTAATTGCTGCCATACTTGCTATTAAATATTGTTGTATTGTTGTTGTAAATGAACTGTTGTTCTGATTTAAGCATTGTCATATGTTATTGTGTGTGTTTTTCTTTGCTTGTTTCCGCTCGCTCTTGCATCCTCCCTTAAGGCTTCCTAGTCTAACTTTATTCTTTATTAAGATTGGAGTAGGATAGGCATTAGGTTGTTGATCCAAGCATGACATCATTAGGGTAGCTTCTCCCTAATCCTCAACCTTAGGGTCATCTTGTATGACAATGTTAGGATATAATGGTCTTCTAATCCTAACCTCAGGAACACTTTGCATGATAACATCTAGGGCAAAGTTTCCCTTAGATCTTGCGATGCATCCTTCTTCTCTTCCCTTTTATAATCAACTCAAAGCACTTAATAAATACAATGTGTATAGTACGTCACGAGCCTTAAGTAAATGAGAAAACATGAGCAGTAGTTTTTCCTTACCTCTTATTAGAGTGTTTTGTATGCGAGACGTTTGAATCGTTTGTACAAGGTATTCACTCATATTGTCATAGACTTTAGTGCATACACATCACAAACCGATTCAACTCCTTTCTTTAAAACACTTCAACAAATTCAAATTACGTTGTCCTTCGGGATTCTTTCTCTCAAACCATTTTATGAAAGGGCATATTATTTTGGTTACAACCATATCCTCTTCGACTTCGAGTGTGTGGGGTATGCCTGCAACGACTTCGACTGCAAGTGGAATATCGACTATATCTTCGGCTTCAACATCATTACTTGTTTCGTCAAAATCATAGCTCATGAATGACTTGTTAATTGGATCACCAGAATTCCAATCCCATGCAGAGTTCTCATCAATCACGATGTCTCGACTCATCACGATCTTATTGTTCATTGGATTGAATAACATATATGCTCTAGTCATATGATATCCTACCAGAATCTTAGGCTCACTCTTATCATCAAGCTTCCCTCTCCTAGCATCATAAATATGCTAGTAGAAAATAGAGCCAAAAACCTTCAGATGACTCACTGATGGTCGCTTGCCACTCCACACTTCTTCAGGAACGTTGTTCTTCAGCTTCTTGGTAGGGCACCTATTCAGAATATAAACAGTAGTCGAAACAGCTTCGCTCCATAAGAGTTTTGGCAAATTCTTCTGCTTCAACATGTATCTCGCTATGTCTAATATTATCATGTTTCTTCTTTATTCTATTCCATTATGTTAAGAAGTATAATGATCGGTTATCTCATGATCAATATCATGTTCTACACATAATACTTCAAATATCTTGGATATGTATTGGCCACCTCCATTTTTTTAGGAACACTATCCAAATTATCCCAATTTTAATTTTCATAATTACATGATGTGGACCGTTGAAGTTGACTTCGGAAAAGTTGTAGTCATAAGGTGAGGGCTCAAACTCTAAAACACGTTTATCTATATTTTTGGTTCATTAATTAGGATAATTAGATTTCGAATAGTATATTTAAACGAATTAGTATAGGTACTATAACTATAGTCAATCAACCATTCTTTATTGTTGTACCTACCATAGTATTGGCATAAGTGGGTCTTTTTCGTGTTGTTCTTGCTGGTGAATCTTGACACTAAATTAAGAACTCTCTTTAGCAATATTCTACGAAGTTCCGACACACCATTCACACAGCGCGTCGCCGTATCGGACACGTGTCCGACACTGATACGCGCATGATACATGTACACATGTATCTGACACATTTTTGAAGTGTCCAATGGAAAAAAATTGAATCGTAACGGACACGGATACAACACCTTATTTCAAATAAAGGACACTGTCCAACTCAAAAAAAATTTAGAATTAAAAAAAAAATTCCAACTTAATAATTTTCAGAATTTTTTAAAAAAACTTGCGCTTAAAGCTACTTGCACAACCTTGTTCGTCATCATATTGTAAAATATATTGCAGCACATTCATTTATCCATTCTTTGAAGAAAAATAAGATGACACCACATCGAGCGAAAACTTTAGTATATGTGCATAATAACCTTCGACTTCTATCAAGGAGCACTACCAATATCATCAAGAGGAAATTTAAATGTGGAATGTCACTTGAGATGAGTTTGGATCATTAGATGACAATGGATTTTTTTAAGTTGCTGACTTGTCTTTAGACGAGTTAGGCTTAAAAGCTATTTTTTTCAATGTAAAGTGACTATGATATGATTTATATCATTTTGTTTTGGTGAATTTATGCCTTTTTTTTATTAAAAGTAATAAGTTTAAACTAAATATTTGTGCAAAAAAAATATTTAATTAACGTAAATTTTGCTTCACATTTTAAATTTTTTATAAATTGTGCTCAAAATTGAATTATTATATTAATATATAAAATATATATAGCTGTGTCAGTATCCTATATTTTTTACATTAGTGGGATCTTCTGTTCGTGTCCGTTTCCAAATCCGAGTTTCATAGGCAATATTTTTTTTAATAAAGGCATTTCAAAATATACCGATTGATGAGTTTTCTCATCAGGGTGACACTTATTTCTGGTTGTCCTTTTTACCATCGATAGTATGTGGCAAGATTATTTCAAAATGAGTAATTCTGTTAACATTACTATGTTAAGAATGAAATATTAGTGAGACTTATATTTAGCTTGGTGATGAAACAGATTCTACCTTTTCGCATTAGTTTAGCTGGAAAATTTTAAATATTAGTTGAAATTTTGGTCAAAATAATTAACCACTCAATCCATGCTACGACATGTTTCATAGTAAATCCACAACAAATTTCCAACTAATCATATTTGATAGAGTTTCGCTACAAACTAGCTTCTCTGACTGTAGTAGCTAGTGTATTTTTTCAAAATTGATTTATAAAATTGTTTTTAAAAACTAAAAAGGAAAAGTCATTCAAACAAACACAATATTAAGATAATAAGATAACACATAGTGAATATGTAAACATTACCCATATCATTATTATTTCATATTTAGTTCATAGGAATACAGTTCACAAGATACACATAAACAAAGATTAAAACACTTTATTTTATTACTTTTATTACCCATAGACACACACATATACATATTATATGTATATATGTATGTTTGGGAAGCCCCATTTAATTTCCAATCCTGGCTCCAGTGTCGAACTTGGCCTTTCCAAATTTCTGAGTTCCACCAAATGAGTTGTTGAATGCATTTTTAGTTCCGTTGTTACGGTGGGTAGTGTAACCTCCATTGGTAACTTGTGCACCAGTTTTGAAATCAGCCTCATCGAAATCTTGACGGCCACAGCTGTTGTTAAAGGCATCAACAGTTCCATTGTTTCCACCATCGTTCCCACCAAAGATACTCCTGAAAAAACCAGACATCTTATAGTATATGATATGATCTCTCTCAATATATCTAAATAGTTGAAATGCTTTGCTTTGTGCTGATGTTTGTTGCTAACTGGGCTAAACATTATATAGATGCATAAAGTTACCATGATAAAGGAGAATCTTGTGCTATAACTGTTTCCTTCAATATGAAGCTTTAAATTATTGAATTTTATGGAACCTTTCATGACAGTCCCTTTTTCTTTGTCAAGTGTAGTTTTTAGAAAATATGCTAAATAGAAATTTGGTTTTGAAAAATATAATATTTAACAGGCTAAATATACATTTGGATTATTAATTTTGTAATAAATAAAATGTATGCATATCTTTTATGTATTTAACTGTAGTATTTACAGTAAATTAAAAAAAAGTATAGAAGATATTTCATCTGTCCAAAAATATATAGTTCATGTTGTTTTAAACTATTTTTTTATTTTCTTTAAAATAATTTTATTTTTAAAAAATATTTAAATTAATTTAGTAGTTTTTGAGAAATGAAAATTGTTGTGAATAGGATGTCTTGAAACAAAATATAACAGTTTTTTTTATAGACAAGAAACATAAAAGGGTTAGAGTTAACAAAAAAAAACAAGAAAAAATAACAAGAAACAACAAGAATTTGTTATAAACTGTTATTCTTTCTTTTCTCTATCAAACAAGATTACAAGTATATAAGAATAACAAATTAACCTCTCTCTTGAATTAAGATTTTATCTTCCTATTTTTCCTTATACAAATTGAGAGACTTAGCATGCTATTTACAAGAAAACTAACACACTAACCTAATGGGTTTTTTTAACAATTACCCATTACAAGCTAACTTAGGGTACAAGCTAACTTAAACAATTGGTCTTACAAGCAAGGTCCAATTCAACATGCTAACAAACCTAGCAATATTGACTAATGCATGTTAGAATAACCTTCGACTACAACACACATTACTCGCGAACAAACTTCGACCATACTAGAGTTCGACCCAATATCTCACAAATCTTCACCTTGTATCTAACTCTATAACATCAAGAAACTAGTTTTCTTCATGCAGCTTTATCAACTGCATACAGTGGAAAAACTTGCAACTGGACAACGTCTTGGTGATCATATCAGCAGCATTATGATCTGTCGAAACTTTCAGAACTTGGACTTCTCCACACTCGGTTACCCCTCTGACGAAATGCAACCTCGCATCAATGTGCTTGGTTCGCTCATGATAGGCTTAATTCTTCGACAAATGTATTGCACTTTGGCTATCACATTTAACAGTGATAACTCGACCTTGAAGTTTCATCTCCTTTGCAAAACCTTCAAGCCACAATGCTTCCTTCACAGCTTTAGTTAGGGCGATATATTTCGCTTCAGTGATTGATAAGGCAACGACCTTCTGAAGTGTAGCTTTTCAACTAATTGATGTCCCAAACATAATGAACACATATCCAGAAATAGATTTTCTGGAATCCATACAACCTGCATAATTAGAGTTGACATATCCTTCAATTGCTACTTTACTATCTTCACCCAAGGCTCCACCATAAATTAGGACTCTATTCAGAGACCCATTTATGTACCTTAGAATCCATTTTAATGCTTGCTAGTGAGCCTTTCCAGGATTCTCCATGTACCTGCTTACAAGACTTACTGCATATGCTATGTCGGGTCTAGTACATACCATATCATACAATAAAGAACCCATTATATTCGCATATGGAATGCTATTCATATAAGCTTTTTCGACATCAGTATTGGGACACTGATCTATACTCAGCTTGAATTGAGGGTTTGTCGGAGTTACAACAGACTTTGAATTCGACATACTAAATTTTTCGAGAATCTTCCGTAGATATCTTGATATAAGCATAATTTTGACTGCTTTATATCTCTTCAGATGTCAATCCCAAGAAACCTGGACGTAGCTTCCAGATCCTCCATGTCGAACTCTTTATTGAGTTCAACCTTCACCCTCATTACATATTCGACACTATTTCTTGCTATTAGAATATCATCCACATAAAGCAACAGAATAACAAATGAATTACTAGGTCGAAATTTGAAGTAAACACAGTGGTCGAACTGACTTCTAATGAAATGTATGCGTGCCATGAACTTGTCGAATATCTTATTCCACTGTCGAGGAGATTGTTTCAGTCCATATAAAGATCTATTCAGTTTGCGCACATAATCTTCCTTCCCTTTTTCGACATACCTTTCAGGTTGCCTCATAAGGATTGTTTCATCTAGATCACCATACAAGAACATAGTCTTCACATCCATCTGTTCAAGTTCAAGGTTGAACTATGTCATTGTGGCAAGCAACATTCAAATGGATCTGTGCTTCACAACAGGAGAGAACACATCATTAAAGTCGACACCTTCTTTCTGAGTGAACCCCCTAGCGACTAATCTTGCCTTGTATCTATTCGACGTCACTCATTCGATCCCTTCCTTAAGTTTGAAAATCCATTTACAGCCTATTAACCTGACTCCAGCAAGTTTCTTGATCAGTTCCTAGGTATTGTTATCATAAAGAGATTTTATCTCATCATCCATGGCCTTCAGTCATTCAGTCTTTTTTCGACTCTTCATAACTTCCTTATAATCTCTAGGTTCTTTGTCTAGAACCTCACTTGCAGAGATTAAGGCATAAGATATAATATATGCATACCCAAGTCTCTGAGGTGGCTTGATGACTCTCCTCAACCTGTCTCTTGCTAGCAGGTGGTCATTATCAGTCTCCTCATCTTCTATAACATCTTTTGTGTCTTCTTCGACTTCATCTGGGATACGTAATTCAACATCAACATGCTTCACCTCAACCGAAATCTCTCCTTGTTCCAGCTCTTCATCAACATCATCAGTTTTCTTGAAATCCATCTCTGCTTCATTGAAAACTACATCTCGACTGTTGGTACACCTCCTATGATCTGGTTCTAGGAATCATAGCCTATAAGATTTGACTCCTTCAGGGCATACCATAAACATGCATTTCAAAGCTCTAGGTTCGACCATGTCTTGCCTAATATGAGCATAGGCCACACAACCAAATACTCTCAGTTTGTTGAGACTAGGTGGATGTCCAGACCAAACTTCTTCAGGTGTCTTCATTCCCAATACAGTTGAGGGACATCTATTTATCAGATAGACTACTGTTGAAACAACCTCCGCCCAAAACACCTGCTTCAATCCAGCACTAACTAACATGCATCTAACCCTTTTACAGAACTATTCTATTGAATCTCTCAGCTAAGCCATTTTATTGAGGAGTACCTGCTACAACTTATGCCTTGAAATCCCAAACTCAACACAATAACTGTCGAACGCTTTGTTGCAGAACTCAAGGCCAGTGTCGGTTCTCAACCTTTTAACCTTTCTGCCAGTTTGAGTTTCGACCAGAACCTTCCAACTTTTGAAATTCTCAAAAGTTTCATCATTCGTCTTCTAGATGAATACCCATAGCTTTCTGGAATAGTCATCAACGATAGATAGAAAATACCTTGCACTTGAGTGTGAGGGATTCCTTGAAGGCCCCCAAATATCAGCATGAATTTAATCCAAAGATCCATGTGTTCTTTGCTTTCCTTTGTTAAACTTCACCCTACAAGATTTATCAAATACACAAGATTCACAAAACTTCAAATTTTCGACTTTGTCACCTCCTAGCAGGTTTTGCTTCCCCATTTCGACCAGGTCTCTTTCACTGACATGGCCCAATCTCATGTGCCAAAATTTTGTCTTCCACACAGTTTTCGTGGATGCAACATTTGTCGAACCACTTACAACCTCAACCTCAATGGTATACAAACCTTGTTCCTTCGACCCCTTTATGACTCTTAGGATACTTTTCTCTCCTTGAAAAACATATACATTTCTGTCGAATTCACCAAGAGAAATCAAATTTCTTTTCAAATCAGGTACATACCTGACTTCAATCAATAACCCTATTGACTCATCATGGAGCTTGAATCTCAGAGATCTAATACCTGCAATTTTGCAAGATTTGTTGTTTCCTAGCAGCACCGATCCACCATCTTGATCACATAGTTCCTCAAAAAATTCTGTGTTTGGAGTCATGTGCCAAGTGCAACCTGAATCCATAAACCATTCTTTTCTTGAGTCACCACTTGAAACCACAAGGACATCTGATGAGTCGAAGTCATCTTGAGCAATGGTTGTGTTGCCATTATCCTAATCTCCATGATCTTTTAGGAGTTCAAGGCACACCTTTCTTGTGTGACCCTCCTTCTTACAGTGATAACATGGAATACCAAATGTTTCACCACTATAAGACTTCTGCTGACTTTTACCTTTCTTCTTGTCGAACTTACCATCCTTTCACAAGAATTTTCCCTTACCGGTCAAACCTTTGCCCACCATCGAAGGTTTATGCTCCTTTCGTTTGATCAAGTCCTTAGAATACAAGGTTGATTGAATTTCTTCAAAGCTCAGGGACTCCCTTCCATACAAGAGAGTTTCTTTGAAGTGAGCATGTGTTCTGGGAAAAGCACACAACAACAACAGTGCTTGATCTTCATTATCGATCTTCACATCAATATTTTCAAGATCAAGAATCAGCTTGTTGAACATATCCAACTGCTTAGCCAATACTTTGTCTTCACTCATCTTGAATGAATACAAAGCTTGCTTCAAGTAGAATCGATTTACTAGAGATTTGATCATGTACAAACTTTCAAGTTTCACCCATAATCCTGATGTTATAGTCTCCTTTGATACCTGTCGAAGAACCTTATCACCAAGGCTCAACAATATTGCACTGTGGTCTTTCTCAATCATGGTCGTCTTTTATTTTGCTGTTAATGCAGCGTTCATGGCTGTCTCTCCCTTTAACGTTTCCAAACAACCCTACTGAACCAGTAGGGCTTTCATCTTTAAGCGCCACACACCGAAGTCGTTCACTCCAGTGAACTTTTCAATCTCATACTTTGTTGAAGGCATCTTCTCCACGATCACTGCACCAATTTGTTGTGAATAGAATGTCTTGA